TTCGCTTAAGACTTATCTAGTTTTGCTCCCTACTCTCAAGTAAGTAGAAGGGGAAGGGATAAACCTAAACTCTGACCTATGCTGTTGGTCAGAGAAATCCTCCTCTTTTAATAGAACTATGCGAACAACAATTTAGAAAAAGAGGGATGGTAGAAGTCCTTGCGAGGTAGAGCCAGACAGAAGACCAAGAAAGACGCCAGAAGAACGGATTTACATATATATAGTGGACGGGCATTGTTGATATTTCCAGGAGGTCAACTATTGATATTGAATGAGAGGGACCTCTCTTTTTACTTCATCCTCACAAATCACGATCTACTAAAAGGATAGTTTCCCAAGATAGAGGGATATTGGTTCAAATCCAATTCGTGAGACCAGAAGAAAGGTCAGTGTAGAGAAGCTCGGTCAGGGCATATCCTAAAGCCATTGCCTCCAGCCAGTAGTAGTGGTAGGTAAGCATCTTAAGTTAGGGGTGAAATTGCTTTTCTGACAAGGAAAGGGATTGTAGGCAAGCCTGTATAATTTCCTCTTACCTCTTCTCTTCATTTCCATCTTTCAACATATTATATTCCCAAGCCTCTTCCACTGGTGCTCGCTCGGTAATTTCTTGTTTCACTGCTGCCTTGGATGCTCTAACTTATTTGGTTTAAAGCCTTCATTGTACGACTGAGGATTGGGTAGATGCTGATTCCGCGGCTCAGATTCAAATAGAACAGAACTGACCACTTTCGTCTGAATCATAATTTCTCGAAAGAACTCTTTCGATAATGTGTTTTTATTCCACTCAATTAGATATAGAGATGCTAGACTGGACTGTCTGCTTTCTTAGTGGACACGAGACCCTGCTCCTTCTTCTTTCTCATTTGCCTCTTTCTTGATCGTTTAGTTCTTGGCTTTCATCCCCAGTGAGTAACTACGGCACGAAAGAGTAACGTATAACGTGACGATCCTAAAAGAGGTTCCTACAGATTGATTTGAATAGAACACTATAGATTCTTGACAACCATTTCCATTAGATGGACAAATAGAATGTGCTTATCTCTTTCCTCTCAATTGTTTTCAGTAATTCGATATTGACATTTTGTGATTAGATCAAAAAGATTACTGCCACTCAGATCATTTCCAACTTCCTGCTCAATCAACCTCCTTAGTTGAAAACAATTCCTACTAAACTGGGATCAAGGGGAACCACCATGAGCTAAACTAGGATAGGAAATCCAGAAATGCAAGAAAAGAGAGGAATGCTATATAATCCATTTTACCGCTCATCCTCTTTCAAAGCTAAGTTCCTATGCATGAATATGAATGAAAAACCAAATGAAAATGAATCAACCTTACCCTTCCCTTAATGTTTGTAACGTAGGCATGTGTTAAGCTAATGGATTTCTGTTCAGTACTTGCTTACTACCTTTCTAGTTGACAGGGACAGGCCTTCGTCGGAGTTGAAATAAGAGAAGAATGAAGGCCTTCATAAGGAGTTATAGATAACCCAGTCGTGGAAGTTAATGAGTTAAGCCAAGGTAGGTAAGTAAAGATTGGAGTGATGGGAAAGACTATCTGTTTCCTGTAGATGAGCTAGGCAAAGAACGTTCTCAAGGAATATATCTATCGTATTAATAGCTCGTCTCGTATTGATGGATAAAGATGCGAACCCTTTGCCGAGGAATAAGAGTGCTCTTGGGATCCAGCTGCTTTCAAATCTCTATACTTTACTACAACTAGATTTCACAAAGGAGAGCTTTAGGGCTATGTTTTCAATGTGGTGATAAGTGGGCATCAGTGTAAAACAAAATCAAGGTACACATGTTGGTAGGCAGTGAAGAAGGTGAGTTTGAGGTTGGTGACAGTAGTGAACCAGTTGTAGAGGGTGTGGATGTGAATACAGTGCAAGTAGAAGAAGTTGAAGCTGATGAGGCCATTGTGTCCATGTGTGCAACCTCATCTAATCCTAATCTTTCTACAATGAAATTGAAAGGGGAAGTAGTAGCTAATAAAGCTATCTTTGCACTGTTAGACAGTGGGAGCACCCACAGCTTTATCAACCCAGTGGTGATTGATGGGATTAAGTGTAAATTAGTGAAAACTAATCCAATGGTTGTGACTGTAGCAAATGGTAAAAAAATTGATAGTTATGCTAAAGGCACAGGGCTATCTATTCTTTCTAATGAGGAAAGCCCGCAGATATCTAGGTTGGAAAGCGTACATTCCCTTTGTCAGAGGTTAGTGGAAGAGGTAATGGAGTAGGTGTTTCTGGTCGTGGGGGAAAGCCCAGTCACGTGGTCGTGGTACTCCGACTGAAAAGAGGGGAGGATGAGTATGACAGGCCGATACCAACTAGAATTCTAATCTGTATGCCAAGAGTTTGATCAACTTATTCGGGTGCCCATATTCACTTTGACCACAGCCACCAGAAGAGGATTCTTCGAACAATTGCTATTTCATTCCATAAGCAAAGGAAAAGAACTAGGCCTGTCGATACTGGATTTTTCTGAATGCCTGATAGTCTGATGTATAGTTTCAAAAAGCAAGTCGTTTTTTCAAGACAGTGTTTTTCTAGCCCTAGCTCATGCTTTGTACTATGAAATACGCCTAGTCCTAAACCTCGATTTTCCCATGCCTACACGTGAAAAGTTATGAGACTACCTCACAAAAAAAAGGCAAAGAAAAGAAGGCATACCCCATTACAATAAAACAATGCATACCTTGTAAACAACTACTGAAGTTCCTTGCCTCTCAAAAATACTTTAACACCTTTCTCTTCCTACTGTACCAAGCTAGCTAAAACACCAAGCTCCTGCTTCGTTCAAAGTCCTAGTCCTGTCTCCTGATATCTCGCCCGCTATTTCTATCTCCGCTAAACCTAGTCACTTGGCTAGCTATACTTCTATAGGAACTATCTAAGCTATACTTTACTTGACATGACTGCCTATCCTGGAACTCAAAGTCTTAAATACGTCTCTCTTGGCTACCCGTGACTTGCGTTGACCTATCCCTACTACTTGGTTATTAGCTTACCCTTTTATACCTATTAGAAACCCTAGCTAGCTTGTAAACACCTATCTCGTGCTTGACTTCTATACTGACCTAAACGTGAACAATATGCCTACCTTTTTTATGTTTCTCAACAATTGTTGGTGGTGACAACAAACCATATGCCAACAAACAACTCCTTAAAATGCTTATATGTATACAGCTTGGCCTTGCTATTCACAAATGTCTATCAGCTTCTCCTGCTTCTATACTTGCCTATCTGTGACATGACCTATTCCTACTTGCTTTGTCAACTACTTTACTTTACCTATTTTTCAAAACCTATACAGATATATCTGCATAAACCGCTCTTGTCAACTCTTCTATTCCTTGGCTATCTATCACACCTACTACTAATACTAAAACGACGTGTTCAAGCTCGCCTCGCTTTCTGGCAATGCAAACCCTACTGGACTCGTATGAAAGCATCATGATTCTTCTATTATGAATAACTAAAGTGGCCCAGACAAGAAGTGGAAGGAAAGAAAGGTGTGTGGTGCGAAGGTGACCAGGCTGACCAAAGGCAGAGAAAAAGAGAGCGCCTCTAGCGCCTAATTCTCAGTCTCATAGCCGTGTGATTCTTGATTTGAGATTGTGTCGGCGTGCCGCCCATGAAAACAGAATCCGCTGATCAGAAATACTTGCTACGCTACGCAATTTTTCTTCGCTGCGCGCCTTCCTTTCGCTTCGCCTAGAACACTGAACTTTGAGCTCAGCCTGACAGATCAGTCAGATCTTAAGGAGGACTCTCTTTACTTTACTCATTGGAAAGCGAGTTGCCTTGATTCAGTAGTCTGATACCTTTTTGGGGGGTAGAACTGGACCCCGGATTGGATGGATGGATCGGCTATAGGTTTTGGATTATGGTAAAATTGCCTTATTAAAGAAAAGAGCTACTCCCTACCCGCCATCTATATCATTGAAAAGCTTCTTGATCTGTTTTCGCTTTGACCATTCGCTCGCTCTTTGCTTTCATGTGTGACCTTTGTCTTTAGTAGGGATAGAAGCAAAGAAAGGGTACATTCCTTGCAGAAAATAGCGATCAGGGAACATAATAAACCACTATTCCTTGCAGAAATAGAGTCACCGAAGCTTATTTATTACGCTACTGTTTTCTTTCGCTGGACAGGAACGAAATTATCTCCCAGCGTAGTAAACTAAACGCCCGAATGGGAGACCCGCCCCGTAAAAAAGAAAACCAGCTGACCCTAAGCTAGCTACACCGTATAGTCTGAAGTGGCTAAGGCAGTTGAGAAAGCAAGCATACTTATACTAGACTAAGCAAAGGTAGTACATACCGCTGCATGAAAGTGAGTGAACACCAACCAGCTTCTTCTCGTCGAGCAATTCCCCGTTGGAGCGAGCAAGATTCCTTTGGACTTACTTTGGTTTTGCATAAATTATCATATAGAAAGAAACGTAGCGTTACGATTCCATGGATAGTTTGTGTTTAGGTTTCTTATTCCACTATGGAGATGAGGAGGATTATTATTCAACTTGGGGATGAGGAATCAAATCAACGAGAAATACTATACTCGAAATTTCGAGTAGCGAAGGAAAAGCGTGAAACAATGTCATGTCGCGACTCGACATGTTCCAAATTCTCACAACACTTTGGACTCATTTTATCAACTGTTTTAAAAGAACGAGTCCGGGCCCAAGAAATCAGAGATGAAGAAATGGGACATGGCTATTCCCTTTCTAAAAGCCAAATAGCAAAGGGATTAAAACAGTTTCTAGAGGAAGAAGATAGATCAATTTTGAGTTACAGATACTATCTTTCCCTTTCCGCATGAAAAAGACCAATCAAAAACTTCTTCGTTTCGTTGGTAGAACCCACGCCAACTCTTTTCTCTAAAAAATAGAGAGTTGATAGTCTCACTTCTATCAATGCAATGAAAGAACTATCCCTTCCTATTTGTTTGTCCTAATGAGACAAAGAAGAGCCTCCTTCTTTACCACTTTAGGGGATGGGGGTGAAGGGGGGTTTACATACAACCGGGGCAAAGTGGTTTATGATTGAATCTCAGAGGCATTCTTATCATTTGGTAGATCCAAGTCCATGGCCTATTTCGGGTTCACTCGGAGCTTTGGCAACCACCGTAGGAGGTGTGATGTACATGCACTCATTTCAAGGGGGTGCAACACTTCTCAGTTTGGGCCTAATATTTCTCCTTTATACCATGTTCGTATGGTGGCGGGATGTTCTACGTGAATCCACGTTGGAAGGGCATCATACAAAAGCTGTACAATTAGGACCTCGATATGGTTCTATTCTCTTCATAGTCTCGGAGGTTATGTTCCTTTTTGCTTTTTTTTGGGCTTCTTCTCATTCTTCTTTGGCACCTACGGTAGAGATCGGAGGTATTTGGCCCCCAAAAGGGATTGGGGTTTTAGATCCTTGGGAAATCCCTCTTCTTAATACCCCTATTCTCCCTTCATCCGGAGCTGCCGTAACTTGGGCTCATCATGCTATACTCGCGGGGAAGGAAAAACGAGCAGTTTACGCTTTAGTAGCAACCGTTTTACTGGCTCTAGTATCCACTGGCTTTCAAGGAATGGAATATTACCAAGCACCCTCCACTATTTCGGATAGTATTTATGGTTCTACCTTTTTCTTAGCAACTGGCTTTCATGGTTTTCATGTGATTATAGGTACTCTTTTCTTGATCGTATGTGGTATTCGCCAATATCTTGGTCATCTGACCAAGAAGCATCACGTTGGCTTTGAAGCAGCTGCATGGTACTGGCATTTTGTAGACGTGGTTCGGTTATTCCCATTTGTCTCTATTTATTGGTGGGGAGGTATATGAAAGAAGGGAACGAATAAGTGGATTGAGGAATAAAAGCTCGAAGACAAAGAGAACTTTTCATAAAAGAGAATGGAATCCTATTTAATATTAGCAATTCACATATAATCTTAAATAACGATCATCCCGCTTCCTTCCTCTGTGTGCAAAACGAAGCTGCCGTAGGTAGTTGTATTATTATGGAATTGTGTTTTGATTCCTAGTTTATAAACGTTGTAAGGTAACGTTTCTCGCCGGTTTTGGTAGTAGTTGTTGTTGGTTATAAACGTTAGTTGTTGTGAAGCATATGAGAATATGCCTGGTTTTGGGTAATATCTTAAGAGGTGCAACGTTCTCCGTGGGTGTTGGTACGAGTGTGGTTTTTCACAGGTCCGGAGACAAGAAAAGAGCCGAATTAGTGTAGGAATGGAGATTTCTACTTTCCGTAGTTGGGTTCGAACCTGAAGATGGTTTTGTGGTGTCTGCTTCGTCTCTAGATTATGCTTCGTCTCCAGAATCCCTACCCTAAAGAGTGAAATTGCGTAGCTTAAGGTAGGTGTTTCCCCAATCCGCGCAAAATAAACGTAAGGGCTGTCTATTGGTAATAGAATTGAAAGGGTAGAAGGTATCCTCGGCATTGTTGGAGAAGTTTAAGTGGGAGTAAGCATTGCCCCCTTACTTGTTCGTTGTCTATCTGTTCTACTAACCTGATGTCTACCTGTATAAATCTATACTCGTTTGAACTACTCGATTGCTATTTTTTTGTCTTTCCTTTACTAACGTGGAATAACGAGTTTTTTTTTTTGGTCTGCCAAAACTTTGATTGAAAGAGGAGTGTTAAAGCAATTCGCTTACGAAATCACAGTCCAAAGCAAAGCAACTACTTACTGGTTTAGCTCGTGTTTTCCTTTTTGAAGTAGTTTGGCAGACGCATCGATTGTTCGTGGCTGGTCACACGGCTCCGGTGCATCGGGCCACTCTCAATTGTGTGGTTCCGAAAAAACTAGGGCTCTTCTCGTATGAGCAGGCTTATCAACCACTCAGAATAGGGAGCTTCCAGCGGGAAGTCCAGCTTTGGGACGTTGCCCCTCCCTCGGATGAAAATAGATCTCGTGGAGACGGGCTTGACAAAAGTCAGTTAGCAAGCGGGTGTTCCATAAAAAAAAAATAAACTAGGATTCTTCCGAACTCAACTCCGTGGCCAAAACCATCTTCTCACTCTGACCCCCACATATCAGATCCCAGATGCCACCCAACGATGATGGGACTTTCGCGCAGGGAATTTGCATTCGATAAATACTCCCCCTCTTGCAGCGAGAGCCCACTCCTACCTAAGGAAGGGGCTTGTAGATCTATATTTAGATTAAGGGGCGGTATGGATGGAAGAGCGCTTCTATTGGTAGGCAGTCGCTGGCCGAGGAGGCTGCTCTCTCTATCTAGAATGAAAAGAGGAGAGAAGTAGCACGCACTGGAGTGGGAGTGGTTCCAGTGCCGAAATCGCCCTTTCTCTTATTCGTACTAAGGGGGAGGAGGGCTTATCTTAATATTCCATCTTGTTTGTTAGCTGACAACTCCATCCATCTTGCTTGTGCTCATTCTATCACAAAAGAGATTTTTTACTTTTGCCATATGGTGATCATACTTTTTTCATACAATTGGAAAGTCTACCGAGGGGAAGGTAGGACAAAAACACGGTGTTTCCTACTTTTGTCACTTTGAAAAAAGTCTTTATTAGGGAAATCGATGAGTAGGCGCGCAGCGACGGGGTTTCCTACTTTTAGTATTCTACCATATGCCTCGTTTTTTTACTTCTACTATTGGTTTTTCAGGCTGTGAATTAGCAATGAATCCTGACAACTTCAACTCTTAGTTATACACCCACCTCTACTACATAGTAGATAGTCAAAGTGTCAGCTGCTTGTACCAGTCATTTATGTGTCGTAATTGTACTCAATTGTCCAAGAAGACTGCACGAGACACCAAAACACATCAATGTTGTTTTTCATGTACTGCCTCTTCTAGATTCGATTGCTGTCTCCACATTTCTTCGCCAAAAGGCTTGAATTCTTCCCATCGTACACTACATCCGATGCTTTAAGTTCAACTGGAAATGAAGAAGTATACCTCATGATGGGTTGACCTGCCTGTCGACTACAAGAGAGACAAGCTCACTCGAGAGATCTTTCCTTTCGATCGCCATTGGAGAAAATAAGACTCCATTGGTGCGGATGGGAAGCAAGTGTGAAGCTCCTCAGAGTTTTTGGGTTCCTGTCTTCACGAAAGGACAAAGCTGGACGATAGGAGCAATACGGGGAGAAAGTAGCGCTTTTGCTATAGGCTGGCTTAAAATGTTTCGTTTGAAAACGAACTTGTTAAGGCAAAACAGGCTTTATTGCTTTTGCCCTTGGCTGGACTACAAACTTGAATCTTGAAAGTAGTTCCCGCTAGGTAAATACAGATTTATTGGTTTTGCCCCAAGCAAGAAAACGGATGTGCGAAGGAAAGTAGGACTTTTGACTACGGCTGGCATAAAAAGTTCACTTTGATCGTACACTCTACTAGGCAAAACTGGTGTGAGTGGTTTTGACTACGGAGGGCATAAACAGTTTAATATGGAGAGTCGGCTGAGTTTAGGACAAAAAGACAAGGCGTAGTCTTTTGAGTCTGATCAGTCTAGTGTTGCCTATGTTGGGTAGGAAATAAAAGAATCAAAGCCCTCGACGTTCCTAACAGCTGTTGAGCTCTCGAAGTATGAGATCCTGAATGCATCCTCTTTCTTTCCACTTCATCTTGGGAATCTGGAATGGTTGTTTATGGCTGGGTGTGACAGATCAGACTGAGTTTAGAATCAGACCTTCTATCTATCTAGCTGTATTGCCACTCCAACGGTTCTTTTTCTTTGATTATGCCCCGTATCTCTCTGAGCCTATTTGATCTATTTGCTATATCCAAGTTCGAGTGTGAAGTTCGCTCCGGTTGAAGTGTAGGGCTTCCTAATTTCTGCTTCGTCCTCCTGCACACTAGTATAGAAGGTTGGCCCGTCACCGTATACCATCGTAAGATGAACTGGAAATTAGTAGTTTCAACCAGTTACACAAAATAGGCAAGTTGAGTTCAGCGTGTGTTGCCTCCAACTATAACGAGGCCCTTTGACTTGAGGTACGATTTACCTCTTAACGCGCTTTCCTGCTAGAAGAAGTGAGGGTGATGTCCAATGACCTGTTTGAAGAAGCTTGCTGTGTAGATAGGTATCCGTTTCGTAAACCTAATGTAGAACCTGTAAACTAAAGACTTGACTCCCGGAACCGCAGCCATTCAAAAAGCTATCAATCTGATTCGAAATACCAAGGTTCGAAGACCTCTGGGGCATATCAAAGTACTTTCACTTGCCCCACAACAAGAATTTCTAGGGTATGTGAGTGGTGTCGGACGCTATAGGGGTTTGTGTATTCACATCAGGAGAAGAAATAGGCTCTCATTGCTGCTGGGATAAGACAAAACCTTCTTCCTTGATCCATGGCGTCACCGCTGCTATATTCATAGAGTAATTCTCTTGGCTGGCTATGATTCCAGCAAATAAGTCTTGGGGTCATTCCGGGCTGATGCTTCCTAATTCTGCCTAGCTTTTGCTCCATTCATCACTATGGGGCACCACATATATAAGCATTGGGAGATCGATCTAATTCTACCAAAGGCAAAAGAAATGGGAAGCAAAGTGTTGGTTATCTAGCTAGTATAGAGATGATGCAGTATCTTCATTGGCGAGACAAGCAAAGAAGTAGATTCAAAAAAGCAAAGTCAAGCAAGCAGCAACATTGGTGACTTTATTGAGTCTTGTCCTAGTTGATCTGGAAATGCCCGAAGAAGCCTTTGACTCATCCAATGCTTAATTGGTTGTCCTAATTTCTTTCTTGAAAACATGTACGAAATGAAAGACTTATGTGAATAAGATCCAATTCTATGATTCACAATTGATCGATAGCTCACAAGCTACCTGCTTATAGGCGGGGCATCAGTTGTAACAAACAGGGGAGTCAGGTAAGAAGAATCAGCCTCGGAAAAGAAGAATTCAGCGCTCATATCCTCGTTTCCAACATGCATTCGTAGGCAAGTTTATAAGGTGGAGGAAGCAACTGTTTTGAATCCTGCAAACAGAACGTTTGAATCAGTCTATTGATAAGTAAGCACTTGAGCCAGAGAGACAAGCAACTATAGGTATAAATCATTCAGCAGAAACTCTTGGTTTCAGTTCAGCAGTGTTTACGACGCATTGAGCAGAAACGTTGAAATAGAAGCAGAGTTCTGTTGGACTTTGTGCTTGCCTTTGAAGGAGGAAGAGTGCTGTTGCTATAGCTGTTCCTATTTCAACTAGGTAGGCCTTCGGTATTCATGCTTCCTTCTATCAAGAGCATTGTGGCAGTACGAAATCCTTCCTCAGCCTTGTTTATAATTTTCACCGGGCATATCTGATTTTTGGACACTTGCTGCATTCTAACCCTATCGCTTAACCGTTCGCTTCTTTCCATTGCTTCAACGCTTGTTTCAAGCAATAGTCAAGAGTTACTAAAGTAGTTTGTCCTATTCAAAGCTATAATCAGTGACTAATATGCACACAACAATAAAGACAGTTGTTTTTTCTAGTGAGAAATCGAGTACTGTTTTTACACAGCTATAGCGTCTGTGAATTTGACAGAAAAGCAAGGTTCAAAGCCCACGGAGCGGTAGGTCGACATTCCTTCTTCTTTCCAAGCTTCTGGTGGTATCTATACCTTTCGAGACCAAGCCCTGCTACAATTCATTGCTGGAAGAGACTGCTAGATTGATTTTGAATAGTTCGCTTCAGGGTTGTAGATAATGCTCTATCAAAGAGCGCCAGCGTACGTGCTCGAAAGCGTTAGTCAACTAGCTACTTGTCCTTGGTTTTCTCTAGTGTGCCCCTTCATTCAATCTCTAACTCAATGTCTACCCACATACCTTTCCTTTCTGAATCAGAGCTTTGCTTACACATCTAATTCTACATTTGA